GGAAGATCTTGTAGACCTTTCGTTTCCATCTTAAGATTTTCTGAAAGATCTTGAGATTGTCTCATAAGATCTCAAGATTTCGTCTAAAATATTGAGATCTTTGGAATAAATCCTGAGATTTTTCCATTTTTAACGAAGCGTGAAGACCCCCGCTGGGGGTCATTATGATCCGCTATGTAACAGAGATGTTTTTGACAAAATATTGGATATGTACCTCTAAGCTGTAAACAGCCAGAGAGATTAGTCCAAAGTGCTCTGCTCATTCCAATAATAATCTGCTCGCTGTTATGTATATTTATTGATTTTAAAACGAATTTGATTGATTGTCTATTTTAACTCCTTAGCGTTTTTAATCTATTTAATTGTAAATGCCTGTCAATTCAGACTTATTGTCTGCAAGAAGGTGTGTGAATAAAGTTTCAAAGTTTAAATCCTACCCCCCCCCTCCCCAGCTCCATTGACCCGAGTGCGGCCCTACAGATGCCAGGTGTGGAGATGTTTGTTGGTGCTGAGGACGTTCCCGGATCCAACATCACCGGCCCCGCGGTCATGGACGAAGAGGTGTTCGCATCTGAGAAGGTAACTGTCACCCCTTTGTCGTTTGTCAACAACTGTAAAATATTTGATGTGGTTTTCAACTTTATTTTGCAGACAGGACGTTTTGTTTGATTTAGTTGATTGATTTTGATTTTTACACCAGCTCATTATGTACCTTTGTCATTTGTTCTTCTTATTATTATTACTTTGTTTTATTGTTTCCTTTTATGTGTGAGGAGAGGGCTGAGATAAGTTATATAACTTTTTGCCCAATCCTCGAAAAATAAATGTGATAAAAAAGTAATAAAAAAAAATAAATAAATAAGTAAAATTTAAAAATTTTTTTTAATTTTTAAAAAACTGTCACAAGGCAGTGGGGAAAAGGCATTTTTAGGTTTTACCTTCACAGAAAGAAAACATAATTATATTGTTTTTTCTCAGTTTCTTCTTCCGTTCCAAACAAATGAAGTCAATGACCTGGACCAGACGTCTTTTTTTAATTTTTTTAAATTTATTTATTTTTTTTCACTGTTTATTCAAATCATGGAGACAAGTACAAGTACATATACATACACAACTACTTTTAACACAAACTTTTACAGCCATATCCCCAAAATACACGGACCAATCACAAAGACAGACACTAAAAAATGATGTCTAAATCACTTTGACACAACAGGTCTTAAGACTGCCATAGACCTGGACCAGATGTCTGTCACCATGGTAACTTCTGCTGTAGCAACACCCTGTGTAGTGTAGACATTATGTAGCAAAGCAGAACAGAGTTGGAGAGCTTGTTCACCATGCATATGAATGAATTAGGCTTTAAAAAAGGATAAACAGTGCAGTAGAGCACGTCGGCAGAACGTACTGCACCTGCGCGAAACCCGTAATGTATTGTACATAGCAGTTTGGCAGAATGTCTCATATAAGGTCGTATTCGCTCATATAAGGTTAACTTAGCATTTCGACAGTAGTTTCCAAAGGTTGTGTCGGAAAGAATATCCTCTGCAACAGGAAAAATTCTGATGCAACGTTGACCAAAAACCCAACGAAAAACGCGAAAATACGGGGTTCTGCGCAGACGCAGTACGTTCTGCCGACGTGCTGTGCAGTAGTTGGTTGTGCTAGACCAGGTGAAGGTAAACATTATGCATTGCTTTGCAAAATGTTACCTCTCTAGTGTTATGTATGTCATCATTCTTTTCTTTATTACTGCTGAGCCCACAATACAGATTGTTAGAAACAATAGGTGCAGACAAAGGGTAGAAATGGTGGATGAAAATAATGTGCAAGCAACAGGACAAATGGATTTAGTGAACCTTGAACTTATGATTTGTTGTTTTTCCATGTAGGTGACCTGTGTTGGGCAGGTGGTAGGTGCCGTGCTGGCAGACACACAGGCACATGCGCAACGGGCAGCTAAATCAGTGGCCGTGCAGTATGAGGACCTGGAACCCAAAATCATCACCATTGAGGTCAGTAAGGTCAAACGTAGGGTGTACCTAGGGCATGTGCAAGAAGAGTGGTTTGATTTAATCCAACAAGATGTGAAACTCGAAAGTTGTAGCTCTTAGCCCCTCTAGTTCTTTTGGCTATTGGTCAAATACAGAACAATGTTGCGTAGCATTAGTATTAAAGGTACAGAAAAACAGAACAGCATAATTAGCCATAAGCATGACTGATTGGACAGTACTTGGGTAGATTATGACATTAGGACAACCATTTGATACTGTTAGGTTGATATGTGGTGTGGTGCTCTGAGTTATCTCTGTGTTCATGTCTGCATACAAATTCTGTTAATCACTGACGAAAGGAAGTTGATGCTACCTGAAATGTCTGACAGTTTGTAAGATCTTAATCCAGTTCATTGAGTTAAACAGTTTTCTTGTGCACATCTGCCTTTGTTTCCAGGATGCAATTCTGCACCAGTCGTTCTTCCATCCCATCAACAAGATAGAGAAGGGCAATCTGCAGGAGGCTTTTGAGAAGGCTGACCAGGTAACAGAGCAACTGTTTGGCTGAAGGAATTCAGCAATTTGACCTAAAATCATCATGACATTGTAGACCTTCAATAACCTAACAGTTTATGGAAGTGCTGTCATCTGCAGGCCCCATCTTTTATTCAAATTATTTGATTTATTGAAATTGCAACAGTGCAATACACATGGGGCACAGGCAGCTGTTGCTGGTGTTGTGTCCCGCACATACAAACGAATACAGGACAGACAATACTCATGTTCACTTGAGTTAATTGTGGAAAGTTGTGTTAAGTGCCTTTCCCAAGGGCGTGAGATAGGTCGCATTTCAGGACTCGAACCCGGGACATCTTGGTTCCAAGTTGAGCACTCTGCCATTACGCCCCATACAACCCCACAACAAATTAAGCAACAGCTAAATGTCCATAGGCAAATGGCCTTCCTTTATACAACATTTTCTTTTCCAAACAAATAAGGTCAATGTCCTGAACAAGACAGCTGTCACTATGGTAACTGGTGCTGTAGCAGACACTTTGTGGTGTTGGGTTACATTAAGTAGCAAGTGGCAAGACAAAGCTGGAGGGGCTGGTCACCATATATATAATATGTATTTCAGTTAGAAAAAACAGAGCAGAAGTTTATTGGGGTAGACCATGTGAAGGGAAATGTTATGCCTTTGCTTTGCAAACGTTACCTTCCTATTTTTTTACCTTCTACATCAGATAATTGGGGGCGAGCTGAGGATCAGAGGCAAATGTTTCCTCTCTATTTTGCACTCAGAGGGAGCATATTGGATGGAGAAAAAACTGGAAGCTCATTTGGTCTCCCTTGTATATGTTTTGTTATGTAGGATGGCTGCATCCAATTTGGATGCATTTATGAGCACTATGTCCATGTCCTTTGGAGTAGGCACTCTACTGTTCCATCAACAAACTTTAGGTATTTTTGGCGACGTCTCAGGGAGGAGCCTAATGGTACAGTATTGTGTGCAGTTTGCAAGAATTCTAGGAATGGTACAGGCATTTTGTCCACAGGCATGCGGAATGTCCACAGGCATTTCTCTGACCCACATCTATGCCCACATTCCTGGAACCCTGAAGACCTGTCTGCCCCAGATGGCCCTACTTTCTGTGACCCCGGGGCTCATTCACTATACACTCAGGGGAGGAGTGTACTGTATCTGTCTAGACTTAACAGGTACCAAGTCTGCCTCAACATCATGAAATGATGACAGTGCCATGCAAACAATAACCCTAACAGCAACCTCCGTCGCCATGGCAATGTATGTTTTCATTGCCAGTCTTGTTTCTTTTGTATCAGATCATTGAGGGGGAGTTGAGGATCGGAGGCCAGGAGCACTTCTACCTGGAGACATGCGCCGCGATCGTGGTTCCTCATGGGGAGGACGGGGAGATGGAGATATACTGTTCCACACAGAACCCCGCTAAGACACAGGTTACAGGAACTTTTCATCTCATCAGACTGTGAAACGATAGGTTTTTTTTTATATTCCAACATTTTCATGACTAGACATGGTGACGGCTCACTCAAGTTATACCAACTTGTTTTATACGGCCACCAATACAGAGGACAAATACAGGACAGGACAATACTCATTTTCACTTGCGTTAAGCGAGGAAAGTCGTGTAAAGTGCACAAGAGCGGTAGCATGTCAGGACTAAAACTTGGGACCACTTGGTTCTGAGTCAAGCACTTTGGGATAGGTTGGGAGATCGGCTTGGCATCTTACCTTAGGCCATGTTGATTTGATTATATGGATGACATCCTCCGGGAGCCCCAAAACTGATGCGCGCGTGCGAATAAAAAAAAGTTTTGACAAAAAAAAAAAGTTCTTTTACATTATGAAATCTACGTGGTCATGAGGGTTGAGCAAATGGCACAGAATATGGTTTGGCGAATTATCTAGTCTTCAAGTTCATTTCTTTACAATTTCGTCTTTTTTCGTTTGTATTTTGGCTA